AAATCAGGGACCTGGTGGGGTCTGGGGTTAGCACAGAGAGGGGAGCTGATGTTAACACCACCAGAAAGAGACACACAGAACCCTGAGCTGAGAACGTCGCTAGAAGTTTATCGCTAAATGTTTATCGTGCGGAAGCTTGCCCAGAAGTGTGTTAGACGTGCAGTTGGGGGGAGAGGGGTGCAAAGCGCTGCTGCGGGAGCTCCCTGGGCGGGCAGGCCGAGCTGACTGTGTTCCTGGCCCCGCAGTGGACGGCAGCTGGGAGGTGTGGAGCGAGTGGTCGGTGTGCAGCCCCGAGTGCGAGCACCTGCGCGTGCGGGAGTGCGCCGCGCCCGCGCCCCGCAACGGCGGCAAGCACTGCGAGGGCCTGAGCCAGGAGTCCGAGAACTGCACCGAGGGGCTCTGCATCCAAGGTGAGCTGCCACGGGCTGGCCGCGGCTCCTGGGCCTGGCCGGAGAGCTGGGCTGGAGGCCAGGGAGCCTGCGTGCGTGGGGCTCTCGTGTCTGATTCATTCTCCTGAAAAGGGAGGTGGTTTTCTGGTTTGCTGTGTGGAGTTTGAAATTTTACGGGTCTCTGGATTTGTGTTGCACGTTCTCTGCCGGTGGATGATCAGGTCATGCTGAAATCCCAAATCCGGGGGGTTTGCGGGGTGGAACTCCAGCCTCCGTGTGCTCCTCCAGCCAGATGTGCTCCTCAGCCCTTCCTGGCGAGCAAACGGGCAAAGCGCCCCGGGAGAGCTGCGGGTGCCGGAGCCGGTCAAGGTCGGAGTTTGCTCCTTTTGCTGTCCTTAGCAGGAGCTAAACCCAGGCAGAGCTGCAGCTCCCTGGGAAAGGCTTTGCCCTTCAGGGTGTCTGGGAAGCAGCTGGCACTGGGAAGCTGCTGCTGTCCCCAGCACGGGGAGCTGGGCAGAGCAGCCCTGCAGCTGCGCGGGCTCCGCACACGGCAGGAATTTGTGAGTCTCTCCCCGCCCTGAGCCCGCTCCTGTCCCTGTGGAGGGGCTGTCACCTCCTCAGTGGAACAGCAGCCCTGGGAGCCATCAGGAGTGCCAGGGCTGGGAGATGTAAACAAGGATGTGTCTGTTTTCTGGGATGTTGTATTCAACCAGCCCTCCGTCCTTGTTTCTATGGTTCTGCATCGCCTTTTCTCTTCTAAACAAAACAAACTCTCTTTTTTTGCCCTGAGATTTCAATCCTTTCCCAGTGGCAGAGAGCATCCTGTGTATTTATTCAGGATTCAGAGGTACCTGAGCTGAGACCTTCAATCAGATTTTGCTGGGGTTTGGTGGGAGGGAACACTCAGCACTCTGCCTACAGAACAGCTTCAAGGTGTCCAAGGACAGAAATGTAATTTCATTTTTTTTTTCCTTCCCTGTGCTTTGAGAAAGAATACCCAGAGAGGGTTTGGGAGCAGTGCCATTCACTCAGCTCTCAGGACTGTGCTGATCCTGTGATATTTCCTGGGGTCTCTCTCTGCCCTGTCCATCAGTGAATTCCTGTCCCTGCCGATGGCTGGCTCAATCCCAAATCCATCCCGGTGTCCCTGCGTGGGGGCTGGCAGGAGGACGTGTGGGAAGGGCGTGAGGAGCAGCAGCTGAGGCTGCACGGTGGGGGTGTGACAGCAGAGGGGACCTGCCACCCCCTGGCTCCGTCTGTGGTGTCCCCAGGGTCTGTTCAAGGTGGCCCCACTCAGGTCACTGCCTGCAGGAACGCTGCCAGTGGGAAATGCTCCAGTCCTGCCCCACATTCCCTGCTGGCAGCCCAGGGGACACTGCCACACGCCACCCGTGCCTGGGGGCACAGGGACAGAGCCAGGACGGTGCCAGGAGCCTCTGGCACTGAGGGAGCTGGCTCAGCTCTGCCCTGCCAGGCCTTTGGGGTTGGACAAACTCATTCCCTGCTTTTCCTGGAGTGGTTTGGGTGGGAAGGGGCCTTAAAGCCCTGCAGTCCCACTCTCCTCTGTGGAGACACCTTCCATGGACACCTTCCATGGACACCTTCCCCTGTCCCAGGTGGCTCCAAGCCCCGTCCAGCACCCCCAGGCTGTGCTCCAAGAGCTGCATTTCCCTGGGCTGGAGCACTCTGTGGCTCCTGCTCCTTCCACCTCCAGGTGGGATCCCGTCCCTCCTTCATGGCTCAAGCTGTCCCTGTGTCCTCGTTGTTTTCAGGGCTGTAATTGCTTTCTCAGCTAACAGGAATTGATGCAATTAGCCTATTTTTTAAAAAGATCTCTTCTCCCCTGTTCATCTTCCAGTGTGTGCCTTTCCTGCACTGCTTCTCATCCCGTGGGGAATTGTGGAGGAAATGCAGCCCTGAGCCACAGCAAACCAATCTCTTGGAGGTTTTTTATCAGGCACAACTCGTTAACTTTGCTCCTTCTGTGAGGCAGAAATAGCAACATTCCTTTGGTTAACAAATCAGGACTGAGCTGAAGGGGAGGGTGGGAATGGAGGGTGCCAGGGAAGAGCCAGCCTGGAGCTGGCTGGGAAAATCCCAGATCGGGAGGCAGAGAATGGAATGAGGATACAATGGATCAGCCCTGGGGTTCTTTATTCAGTCCCTGACTGGAGAGTTTGGGAATAACCCCAAGACACCCCCGGGAACATCCCAGCGCTCCCTTTGGCCTTGGGTGGATCCCGGTGGGCCAGCCCTCGCTGAGGAGCAGCTGGAGGAACTTTTCCTTCAGGGAATTTCTCCTGGAACTTGCAACTCCTGTGTAGATCCAGACGTAGATGGAGGATCTTCCAGGAGGAAGATTCACGTGGGGTGTGACAGGGATGAAAGGTTTCCAGGGCTGCCAGATGTGGCTTTGGCCCCAGCCAGTCCCAGGACCTCACTGCTGTGCTGCATGTTTGTTCTCCCAGTGTTTATTCCCTCCCCGTATTCCCAGCTGGATGCTTGGCCAGGGTGGATTTCTCTCTCTTTCCTGCAGAGGGGAAAGCTTTCTTTTTGCTTAATAAAAGAGAGGGTTTTTTGTTTGGTTTTTTTTTTTTTTTGAGAGCTTTTTCTTTTACTTTTATCTGTTTGCTTTAAAGTTATTTCTCCTGACTTCAAAACCTATTGATTTCTTCTCCCAGTGCCCAAAACCAAAACAAACAAGTAGGGCCACAAGGACTGACCTGCAAACATGTTTTTACTAATGCACCCTGGATAATCACAGCACAATCACAAATCATTTTGTTTTCCATTTTCCAAGCAGCGCTGCTGCTGTTGCCAGGAGGCTCCTGGGTCCAGGAATCTCCATTTTCATGGGAAATGCTTTTCCCTTTGCAGTTTGGTGCAGACAGCCCCGTCCAGCAGCAGGGAAGGGTTTGCTCCACTGCAGGCTCCAGTCTGACCCTCCTCTCTGGGTGTTTTTGGGCCTCATTTTCCTGAAAAACCAAAACCAGCCTTGGGCAGGGAAATAAAAACCTCCTCCCACCAGGTTTCTGGTGAGGAGCCGAAAATCCAATGATCTTCTGGGTGAAGTATTTCTAAACTGAGCATATCCTCACAAACATGGAAATGAAGAGAAGGATTGGCCGTAATCCGCCTGAGTCTCCCCGTTTTAGGGATTACTTTGGCAGGTTTTAGGTTGTAAATGGTGACTCAAGTGCTTGGCATGAGGGAGGCAGAGAAGGCTCATTTTTGAGAGCTGCAGTCCCATAGAAAACCCCTTCGGTCCCATTTTTCCATCTGTTGGGGGCACATGGATGTGTGTGTTCATATACACACACAGAGGTGCCGTTATTGGGGGCTTTTAGTACAAAAATGTGAATAAACTGGGCATTTTTATATCTTGTAACTAATTTAAGTGTCCATTACCAGCCTTTCATACATCAAACACACAAAGGAATCATTAATTCTGACCTGAGTCTCTTTGCCAGTGATCCACTGCAAGGTATTGAACTTCCTTCTTGCTGAGGTGTAAATAAACAACAGCATCCAATAGAGCCAACAAATAACCTGAATTAACCAAGTGAGAAATTGCTGCAAAGGAACTTCCTGATAGGGATTTAGGGAAAAAAAGAAAAAAAAGAAAAAAAAGAGAAGATGAAGAGAAAAACATGGACAACATAAAATATTCATATTGTCAGCAAACGAGGAGAAAATGTTTCATTTATAGAGTGAGACAGAAGCAATATAGGAGATAGATATGCTCCATGTAAATTTATTAAGTGCAACTTTCTCGCTCTCTCTCCCTCCCTCTCAGATAAAAAACCTCTTCATGAAATAAAATCCCAAAGTAAGTTCTTTTTTTCTCTTGTAAATATGATTTTCCTCATCTTCTCTGCCGTTTGGGTTATTTGTTTAGGAGCTAAGTAGGAGCCAAGGTTTTATGAGAGGCTTTAGCATCTGCTGAAAGCATCTCTGTGATCCCAGGTTCAGCGAGCCGGGGGAGTGCTCATCCCCAGCAATTTGCATCTGACAGGGAGCCGTGCTCTGGAGCACTCGGAATCAGGAAAAAAGGAATTTCTGCAAGAGTTTGGGGTTCCTGGTGCAGACCTGGCTCTGCTGCTGCCTCTGGCCCTGCTCAGCTCCCTCCTGTCCCACCTGGAGGGTTTTTCTGTGCCTGGGATTGTCTCGGGGCTGCTCTGGGGCTTCCGTCCTGCACCCACAGCTCTGCCAACCCCAGCAGGGCAGGAGAGCAGGGGGACAAGGGACGGGGGGAGAGGGAACGGCCTTGAGCTGTGCCAGGGTGGGATGGCAGGAATTTCCTCCTGGAAAGGGCCTTGAGCTGTGCCAGAGTGGGACATCAGAAGGAATTTCCTCCTGGAAAGGGCCTTGAGCTGTGCCAGGGTGGGACATCAGAAGGAATTTCCTCCTGGAAAGGGCTGTAGAGCTGTGCCAGGGTTGGAAATCAGGAATTTTCCCCTGGAAATGGCCTTGAGCTGTGCCAGAGTGGGGCAGCAGGAATTTCCTCCTGGAAAGGGCCTTGAGCTGTGACAGGGTGGGACGGCAGGAATTTCCTCTTGGAAAGGGCTGTAGAGCTGTGCCAGGGTGGGGCAGCAGGAATTTCCTCCTGGAAAGGGCTGTAGAGCTGTGCCAGGGTTGGAAATCAGGAATTTCCCCCTGGAAATGGCCTTGAGCTGTGCCAGGGTTGGAAATCAGGAATTTCCCCCTGGAAATGGCCTTGAGCTGTGCCAGAGTGGGACATCAGAAGGAATTTCCCCCTAGAAAGGGCTGTAGAGCTGTGCCAGGGGCTGCCCAGGAGGTGCCCACCCCTGGAGGTGGTGACCACGGTGGTGCTTGGTGGTCTCCGAGGGCTTTTCCAGCCTTGCTGATTCTGTGATTTTACATTCCTGGTTCTTAGTTCTTTCTCAGGATGCCCAAAATCAGTGTAGGGAGCTGCGAAAGGGCCTGAGGTTCCCTGAGCCTTTGGGTGTGTCTGGGTGTCCCCAGAATCAGCCCTGATGGGTGCCTGCTCTGGGCCACGC